AATATATGTACAGTTCAGAAGCAAACACAAAAACTTCAATATAAGTACAAATATAGAAAGAATAACAACATACAATGATAAAATCTCAAATTGGAATCAAATAAAATACCAAAAATGTCAAGAGAAAAAGTCCATCATGTCATAGCAAAAATATGTAAACATGGAGGGATTTTCCAAAACACAAAACATTCAAAAAGAATTCTACACCGATAGCCTGGTGACTGACGAAATCTCAGCACGGATACAGAAAGCTCGATTGCCTTTTGCCAACCTGAGTCACATACGGCGTAGACGAGATATCCGTTTGCTAACCAGCTATGTTTCGGGGCGTACAAGTAGGTTGGGAGAAAGCCAGCAGCGGCCAATCCAAAACATGGCACAAATTCATGAAGTCATTGACAAGTGGACTGACTCATGTTGGTAAGTATAGACTACCAGGTTGAGGTCCGCGATACGATAGTGACCGATGGTTAGAGACCTTGATCGACATAGTTCAAAACAGCTTGCAGTGGCTTAGATGCATCTACTCTTTGTGTTGTGTAAAATTCTAGTCTTCTGAATTGCTCATTACCTCCATCTTTCTCTTCATAAATCTGATTTTTCGAACCATGGTCTTCCCCATTACCACTGATACCTGTACTGTCTCTACTATAATAGGATTCGAACTGTCAATCGCTTCACTGTGCTAATGTGGTTTGGTAACCTGAACTGATGTACGTAAACACGAATTTCTACGTTGTAAGTGATTTGACAATGATCCGTTGTGTTGCGATTTGGTCAGTTTATGATTGAACCTTACGGAATCCAGTCTGTTGGTGTTCAAGATGGGTGTCCACCAAATCTATCATTACGTTTAACCATTTTCTGTTGAGAATGGAATGATGACTCCGTAGTTCTTAAACTTGCTGGATCGTCTTTCTTTGGTGTTTTGATCAGATGTCTTTATTTTTGGTCTGTTACTATTGATTCTCTCCTCCAAGTCTTGCTAAAGAGAATGTGGAGTATCTTTACAGTTGCTGCTGTGTCTGACTTCAGGGCATTAGCCGCAATTTTGTCTGGTCTTGCTGCTTTGCTGCCATACTGATCGCTTCAATTTTTGGTGGGTCCACATTCACTTGGCTGTCCGTGAGTGCTGCTTTGATGATGGTTGGGTTCACCGGGGCTTGTCGATGCTAGAGTTCTTCTGAGCGCTCTACACACCTGTTTCACTGTTGTTCATTGTTGGTGATTACTTTTCCTTCCTTGCTTTGCATTGATCTTTCTGGTTTATGATAATTTCCAATGAGCTGCTATGTTGTATCAGGTTTCCTGCACTTTTTTCCGCACTCACTACTTGATCTTTCATATTTTAACTTTTGTCAACTCTGATGCTCCTCTTCACTTACTTGTTTTTTTTCTGTGTATTTAGCTCGTGCCTTGACTCTCTCTCTGTTCTTATTCGGCTGATGTTGATCTCTGTCTTCCTGTTCTGTCTTAATTGAGTCTTATCGAATGTATCAACAGTGATCCATTGCTTTTGATGCTGATTTTAAATAATAATAATAATAATTTATTCTCAAACAACAAACATATTACAGGAGACATGCCAATTTACAGGCAAGATCAAAATGTTAAGATTAGCAACATATTTCTTTTAAAACGGTATACAGTTACTGAAATATTTCACTAGATTCATGGGATTGCTATAAATGGAATGTACAGTGTGAATAATTGGCGCGAGTTACGAAGGTTGCGTTACGACTATCATCTTGTTGACCACGAAACGATGCATGATAGAGCCAGGTTTGCATATAACAAGAATTGATGCGGTAAATGTACAAAGGTCTGGTTGATATTCATCAGCTGGTGATTTCACGTGTCTACGGCAAATATCCATACTAATATATGAGGATTGGAATAAGGTGCTGAAAAAAGAGGAATAAAGAGAATGGGACGAGGAGAAGAACAGAAAATATTCTTGTTTAAGGCCGGACAGCGGCTTAGAACATACATTTTTGGATAAAACAAAGGTATGTTTATTCAGATTTTTTCTTATATCAGAACACTAACTGTACACCTGCACTTATGTAGGTTAATGAAGACAATTCAGCAGTGAGATAACTAATGGGAAGTTAGTCGTTTGAATAGAGGAAGTTCTGAAGAACCAAGTTGTTAGAAACAATGTTGGGGCCGAAAACCCCATTATTTTCTAAATTTAATGCTTCTTTGATCTCCTTTCACTTGTTATCCATCGTAGTTTCATCGTTATTGAATGACTAACCTCTCACCGCGTTTTTTTCCTTTCTGTCACACCATTTCGTCCCATTATGTCTTCATAGTAGATGTTACCCATTCTAACCTTGATTATTAGGTCCCCCAGTAGAATGCTGAAATCCTTTGTTGGGAATTTCTCGAAGATTGACTACAGCCTATCAATGAATTGATCTTTATCGTTCCAAACTTTATCGTAGGTAGGTGCTTAGAAATGGATAGCGTTCATTTTAATTCCCTCTTTCATTGTTTTGAAGGATGCCTTGATGATCATGAGATTCTTTGTACAGTATCTGTTCAACCCCTTGTGTTTGCGTGGCATTTTATTTGTGGTTAGAGTGCAACACGACCTCTCTTGATGCTATGCTTTGTTGTTCAGACTGCGTCCAATCTGATCCACTGATTCCAAGTACCATCAGGTTGGATCTTTTCATTTCTGCAGCCGCTTGAATAGTTCTCCTGTTCTCCAACGATGTGCGAACATTCCATTTACATACATAAATTATCATTCCAGTTGTCAGAAAGAAAATCAACCTCTTGAATTTTCCAGGAGACTTAGCTTTCATCGTGAGACTTCATAACTCTTCTAAATGAAGACCTTTCAACTTCCAAGTTAAAGTTTGAATTACTTTTCCTGGTTAGCGTTTTTTAGCAATTTAGTTTTCTACGGGATGGGGCCGCTAATCTCAAACCCAACACTCCTACTTTATCCCTGCGTGGGACCGGCAGTAACCTGAAAGGGCTCAGGGGGAGTTTATTTTGGGACTACTTTGCCACAAGGTGATACCTTTCCTAAAACTAAGTGTTTCAATCTTAGACTAATCCCAGTCTCTCATGAACTCTACGTACATCAGTATGAGGTACTTTCTCCAGAAAAGCTAGTGGCGTCTGGATACAGTGAACTTCTGCATGCCTCTGCATGCATCGTAAAAACCACAGTTTACTATTAATTCGGGTCAAACTCCAAAATAAGTACATCTGCTGAACTCCAACTTCCTTGACTGACATTAAGCATGTGTGTTATAAAGTCTTTTCTGCCCAAAGTAACTCATTTTAATCT